GATCTTATTTATTACTTAATTAATTTACCATTCAGGTGTTCTACGCATAAAGATATCTTTATGCTAAAAATAATAAAAATTTATAACAAAATAAAATACGAAAGATTCTCCACTTGTGAATATTTCACTCAACACAAGGGTCATTCCAATATGATTATAAAATTAAGAATTAAACAGAATATATTAATTTATCTTTTATAATCAATTCATTAAAAAGGGACATCTAAAAAGGATTTTGTTCTCCGAAAGCTAGAGACTTCCACTACTGACTTGTGTTTAACATTAGCAACTTATTATGTCCCGTTTGGGAAAAGGGCGTATTCTAAAGCTAAGGTAAAAGTGTTATATATTGCTAACACAATGGGGGCAAGTGGCACCCACAAAACTAAACAACTTGATGATCATTGTATCCTCAACCTTCTAAAGTAAATATTTCTAAATATTTCCTTTCATCTGGGCCACCCTAATGACATTAGTTATCAAGCAATTCTGCTCATTCATTTGGGAAACTGTTTAAACTAATGAAACAAAAATATAAATATTCTGCAGCCAATCATGAAGTGCAATTATTCGGAAGGCTCTATTCCTCCTATGCCTAAATTCTTAACTGTCATATTAATTATTTATATAATTAAAGAAATTGAATAGTACAATCTTTCTCATATTATTTTTTCGATTTCCATAATTTTAGAGCCAACTCTTGGTGTTATAAAGTTGTTATACATGCCATATTATTAAGCTTTTAAAAATTTTGACTTTTAAAGAAGTCATTCAAAGGCTTAAAAATCATATAATATATATTTTAAATTATCATTAAATTAATTCTCTAAAGTTTTAATATATCACGACATATTTGTCTTTTTGAAAGACAAAGTAGTAATACAGAAAAAGGGTTTAAGGGATTAATTTGATAAAAACAAAAGCTTTGAAAGATCAATATAATAATATTTTAAATGTTCTATAAATTAATTCAATGATAAATTTTTTAAATAAAATCAACTTGATGTTTACTATTAGTTTGATTTCTTATTAGAAGAATAGTACAGAGTAAAAGATGCTAAATAATAATAACAATAATAATACTTCTTTCGACTGATATTCTTCTTCTTAGGTCTTTCTGTACAACTACTTGAATAGTACTTGTGAAGGATACTGAGGGTAAAATATTTGAAGAAAGAGCAAGATATATAACTCAATGTGCCTGTCCCCTCTCATCTATATAATTCGCACCGCTTCTTAATAATGCTTAAATTTACATCATTTCCATACCTCTCAAGTAGCATGTAGTTGATAAATATAAGGGCCCTTTGTGTTTGTGGGACTAATTTTGGCCCTGTGCTTGAGAACGCGTGATCAGAGACACCAAGAGAAGCAAGAGGGCGTGGACTCTCCATCTTTAAGGCTTAACCACTATAACCCTCGTTAATAACAACATTAACAAGTAAACATGTTTTAAACTATTATTATTATGATTATTAAAAACGGGACCGCATGATCAGAATTGTATCCATATGCCTCAGCTTTCGGTCATTACACATAACCAATGAATAAGGATAATTGCATATGCATAGACCTTGTAAGTTTTTTTTTTTTTAAAATAATACATTTATGCAAGTCATTCAATAATAAACTTAATTTTATGAGTTCAAAAATTCAAGTATTTGAAGAGTTTTGAGAAAAGTAGTGTGTATTAAAATATAATTTTTATTAAATTGTTTTATTTACCATTTTAAATATTACAATCTTCTAATTTTGTCTCTATTATTTTAAGAAGTTATAATTTAGTCTTCATAACTTTTTCTTTTTCATGATATATATCCTTAGTGTTTGGTTTGTTTTGTCCATTAAATGTTTACTTGTTTCTTAAAAAGGAAAGATCGATCAATAGAGAAAATTATAATATTTAGAAAAGTAAATGAAAATTTGTAATATTTTAAAAAAATCAAATATGTAAAGAAAATGGTATTTAACTAACAAAACAAATAAAAAGCTGATGACGGGACTATATAGAAAAAGAATTACAAAAAATTAAGCAGAAATTTTTGAAAATAAGGGGCCAAATGAGATAATCTTTATATGTATTTAAATGTATCAAAAACATATTTAATATTTTCATTTTCTATAATCAATTGCCTTATTTTTATTGGGTAAGATCTTCTATACTGAGAAGTTAATTTTGATAGCCAAGAATTGTTTTAAAATTTGACTAATTTAAATTGAGGTAATTAACATCCACTTAATTAGACAAAGTAGATATTTTTGTTTCATACATAAGACTTGAACTAGAATCTTATGGTAATCAATTGCTTACTCGAACTGTTTGACTAGCAGTATAGCATTGATGGTGAGAGGGTATCAAACAAAGGCTTTTCTTTTTTTTGTTTTCTCAAATTCTTTAGAAGGCTTTTCTTTTTGGTTCAACTATGCAGCAAAAAATCCTCGCCCACTTCAGGATTCCCTCCCACGATTGCTACCTTTTAGTCCTTTTCTCGTCCCCTAAAGAGGGAGGCTTCTATAATTATATGTATAGATTTGCAAGAAAGCTTAAAACCATGAACTCAGCATTTATGGTAATGCATGGAATGCTAGTGCTCCTAGGCTTTATAAATGGGGCATCTTAGGGAAGCTTTTTTTGTGGAGGGTCTTCCATAACTTCCCCTTTTTCATGATTATGATTTTGATATGTGAAATTGCCTTCAACTTAAAATAACAAGTAATGATACATGTACAAACTTTTCGCCACATAGAAATCACAAAGATATTAAAAATGAAATTTATTATAATTGGGCTGAATTATATGTCTAGTTTATTTAATTATCTTTTTCTTACAATACATATTGAAAGCATTTACCTCATTATGGGACTAATTGATGAGATGATGTCACATATCTTCAAAACTAATGGTTGCCGCTGAATGATGCTAGTACAAGGGGTTTGTGCCTTGTAGAGATGCTGCGGTGCACTTTGCAGTGTAAACTATGATAAATGACACTCCACCTGATCTTGATAAGGACGGGCCCCAACAACTATCGGACAACCCACCTTTCTTTTATATAAGATGTTGCTTTTACATGCGTGAAACACCATCCTTTTAAAGGTTAGAGTAAGGACAAATGCCATGAGATTATTGTACTTGGACTCGTCATGATACCCTAAATTTTACACTATTTCATTTTAAAAATAATTACTTATTTTCTTCAATTTTTTATTTTTTAAATAAATAAATACTATTTTCTAAAATTAAGTGGGTGTTTGATGCTAAGTATATATTTGGTTCAGTTTATTTTAAGATAATAATGCACGACAGATTAAAAATAAGGAATTATTTTCTCCAAAATAATCTATAACAAGCATGACTGATATCCATCAAATATGTAATTAGCTATGAGTTTGATGAATTTAACTTAAAAGTTGACTTGGAGGTGTTCAGAAAAGTTGGGTAAGCATTGTTACCATCAAATAGTGCATGGTGCATGTATCTACCACACATATAAATGCACAGTTCAAGTGTTTGAGGAAGGGTATTAATGGTTTCACTGGAGGTACACTGGTCCAGTGACTCCAGTCTCGAGTGTGTATTATCTTAGCCGACAGTAGTAGTACTACGGACTAATGAAAGAGACTCCAATATTATTTTTCAGCCGTAATCCGAGCTAAAAGTGGAGCCTGCACTAGTATTTTATTTTAGAAAAAATATTAAAAAAAAGTGGGGTTAATCTACAATTTTTGTCAACAATTTAGAAAATTTTTTGATTGGCACTAAGCAAAGAATGCACAAACTTACTCCATTTACTTAATGGATCTCAAATAGCTAGGCTTTTGCACTTTATTTATGCGCAGAAGCTTTGAACCCAATACAAATATGGGTAGGCCATAGGCCCACGTTATGGAGTGTTAAAAGTCTTTCGGGCACTCATTTACAACACTGTGGCTGAATGACCTTTAATTTTAAAGGTGGCGGCGTGTGTATATTCACAGGGCACAGCCGCATATGTAGAAACTAGGGACTTAAAAAGAGGACCTGAAATTCGAAGGGGCTAGAAGGAATAAAGGTAATCTGCCATAGCTATCATTCATGGTTCTAAAAAATGGGTTGAAAAAGACAAATGTGCAGTAGAGTAAGTGGGGAAAGCCAACACATTTCTTTCTTCTTCTTTTATTTTGCATTATTATTTGGAAAATAATTTATTTTATTAAAAATATATTAAATTTACTAATAAGCCTACTACAGTAATTATCTAATTAACTTGAGATATAGAGACATTTAAGTTTAGAAAGCAAAAAGAGCATAAGCGGATCCGTGGCGCAATGGTAGCGCGTCTGACTCCAGATCAGAAGGTTGCGTGTTCGATTCACGTCGGGTTCAATTCCCAAGTCCGCTTGAAATTTTCGTTTTCGAATTTTAGAAGTCCTAAAGCTTATGGTGGTTGGAATAATATTCGTCAGAATTTGTTTATGTATTCAATTTTGTAAAGTTCTACCGTATATTAATTTCACATGTTATGCATGTCAGCTACCACAATTTACATGCGCTAGACTAAATTTACAACCACAATCTGCATGTGGTAGGCTAATTTCAAATATTAACCGTGGTAGGCTAATGCTGCACCTCAAATTTATTTGATTTTATGTGAAATACATAAAATCAGAGTTCAGGATGCAAGGAAGTCATGAAAAGTGATTCATAGCTGCATGTGGAACAATACATTATTTGTTTGTGTACATTGTTGTTCACTTGTTCTCAAGAGCAACAAATCATATAAGCTTAGGCTTCTTATTTTTTAAGATATTCTGAAAAGCTTTTTCATTTAGTTTCTTTAAAATATGAAGAGATAAGTTTGAATCAAACTTATGAAAGAAGTTTTATTATTTTTCATGTATAAGGACTTCTACCGAAGTTTATTCAAATTGGTCGTACTTAGGACATTGAACAAAAATGAAAAAGACTTGAGCAAGTGTTGTGCAAAATGCAAAGTGGCATGGGGATCAAAGATGAAGTCTTAATTTGATAGTTGAGTAGGGTGGCCAGGATCTCTTGAACGAGTACTCCATGATGAGCTAAGTGTGCGAAGTCCATGAAAGTATTCCCCCATAGCCAGCAAGCCTTGAGCAGCTTGACCAATTGTAAGGATGCGAGACATTTGCAGCAGAGTTTCTTGCCTAAGGAGATCTGCCTGTGGAAAAGGGAATACATTTATGTTACGGTTTTAAGACATGACAATAACACTGTTTCATTCATTAGCAATAACAACAATGCATGGATCATAAAGAAGTAATTGATGACCTAGTATATATAGTTCCATCTTGTACTTCAAAATTTCAGCATTCTAAGACCCTTCATATTAAAATTGAATTGTTATAACGAACCAAATTTTGCGAAAGAAGTAACCTATAATGCATTTAACAATAAAAAGAGATAAGAAAAAAAAAACTATGATGAAATTGTCTCTTGTAAGGAGGGTACTTGTAGTTTAAGGTTTAGAGTTTCAAGCAAAAAAACATGCAACGTAACATCTTTTTTCTTTTGTTATTTATTTTTCTTTACTATTGCATTTGGTTTTAAATTAGAAGAATTTAAATTTTAGTAGTTACAGAGAGTCTCACTCAAGTGAGATTGAGATTTTTAGATCATGTATTATAAAGCATTCTTGTTCAAACGAGATTAATCTCGTTCAAGCGAAAAGTGATAATATCACTTTAACTATTCTTTTGTCCAAGCGAGATATGCCTTACTCAAGCAAGAAGTCACAAGAAAAATGGAGAGTTCTCTAGACCAAGTCTCGCTCAGCCGAATATTGGAGATAAACTATTGTCTAATGTTTTTGCTCAAGCGAGGTCTTGTCCAGGTGAGAGTAAGCCTTACTCAAGCGAGAATGTGTGAGTTCAGAGGAGTATTTAAGAAACTTCCATCCTAAAAGCTTAGATTATAAGTCAAGCAACCTCTCCTTACTATTTTTTTGTTCTCTCTTTTCTTTCCAGAGAAAACTCCCTTAAACCCTAAATTACTTTCAAATATAAACTTGGACGTTTGTTCCACTCACTCTTAAGTAAGTTTCTTGAAACTTAATCTCTAATCTCATTTTTATATCTCCTTTCTCAAAAGTGCTTCACTTTGTAATATATAAGAAGAGCTTGATCTTTTGGACAATATCTTCCACAAGCCTTTATACAAATCTTCTCATCAAGGTAAGAAGAACTCTATTTCATCATTAATGATTCTGAAAAGGTAGATTCTGGTAATTTGGAAGAAACCTTTATGTGTTTGATCAATAAGGTCAAAATACAAAAAATTTACATTAATATTAGAATCATTATTGATGATTTTGTTCTTGATACTTTAGCCCTCTTTGATACAGGTGATGATTCAAATTGTATTTTACAAAGATTAGTCCCTACAAAATATTTTGAAAAAACTTCTGAAAAACTTAGCACTGCTAGTGGTTCGAAGCTAAAAATCAACTATAAATTATCAAAAGCTGTGATAGAAAATCAAGGATTTAAGATAGAAACAAACTTTCTTCTGGTAAAAAACCTGAAAAATGAAGTTATTTTGGAAACACCTTTTTATTAAAGTCCTCTTCCCATTACAGATTTCGAAAGAAGAAATTTCTACTTATAATTTAGGTAAGCAAATAACTTTCAAGTTTTCCAGTAAGCCCTTTACTAAAAATATCAATTCCATTCAAAATAAAATCAATCAAATTAATTTTCTGAAAGAAGAAGTTTCTTTTGCCAACATTGAAAAATAATTAAAAAAATCCTTCACTTCAGAAGAAAATCCAATTTCTTTTAGAAAATATTCAATCTTTTATTTGTTCTGACTTGCCCAGCGCATTCTGGACTAGGAAGAAGCACATTGTTAGTTTTCCTTATGAGTCAGAATTTAAGGATAACCAAATCTCCACTAAGGCTAGGCCTATCCAAATGAATGAAGAACTCCTTCAATATTGTCAGAAAGAGATCAAAGTTCTCTTAGATAAAAACCTCATAAAAAAACGTAAGAGCCCTTGGTCATGTTCTACTTTTTATGTCAATAAACCCGCAGAAATAAAGAGAGGTACTCCTAGGCTAGTTATCAACTACAAACCCCTCAACCAAGCTCTCCAATGGATTAGGCATCCCATTCCCAACAAAAATGATCTTCTTAACAGATTAAATTCTGCTAAGATCTTTTCAAAATTCGTTATGAAATCTGAATTCTGGCAAATCCAAATCTGTGAAAGTGACAGGTATAAGACCGCCTTCACTGTCCCCTTTGGGCATTACGAATGGAATGTTATGCCCTTTGGCTTAAAAAATGCCCCTTCAGAATTTTAAAAAATTATGAACGAAATTTTCAATCCTTATTCAAAATTTGTCATTGTCTATATTGATGATGTCTTAATTTTCTCTCATTCTATTGATCAACATTTCAAACACAAATGTTTTTATCAATGTTATCAAACATAATGGACTTGCTGTTTTCAAGTCTAAAATCAATCTTTTTTAAACCAATATTAGATTCTTTGGTCACAATATTCATCAAGGAACCATCATTCCTATCAACAAATCTATTGAATTTGCCGACAAATTTTCTGATAGAATCCTAGATAAAACCTAGCTACAAAGGTTTTTAGGATGTTTTAATTATGTAGGTGATTTTATCCCACACTTCAATAATATTATTAAGCCTTTACATGACAGGCTTAAAAAGAATCCTCCTTCTTGGACTGATGTTCATACTAATGTCGTCAAAGAAATCAAAAGTAGAGTTAGGAAGATATTGTCTTTATCTCCCTATTCCCCAAGCATTCAAAATTGTTGAAACTGATGCCTCTGACATAGGTTATGGTGGCATTCTCAAACAAAGAATAGAGTCGCATGAGCATATTATTGTATATATTTCAAAGCATTGGAATTTCGCTCAGCAGAATTACTCAACTATTAAAAAAGAAGTTTTAGCAGTTGTTTTATGCGTATCAAAATTTCAATTTGATTTACTAAATCAAAAATTTCTCATTAGAGTAAACTGCAATTCTGCTAAAGAAATCTTACAAAAAGATGTTAAAAATCTTGCCTCAAAACAAATCTTTGCTAGATGACAAACAATTTTAAGTGTTTTTGATTTTGATATAGAATATCTCAAAGGCACATCTAATTCCCTTCCTGATTATCTTACCCGTGAATATTTACAGGATAGATAGCATGCCTAGAAAGGCAACAGCCCCCTCCAAGGGTGGGACATATAGAGAAGGAAGAGTCAGGCTTGCCTTGACTCTAAATAAATCAAAATCAAAGTCTGCCTCGGTAGACTCAAGGTCTTCATCTTCTGGGTCATTGACCCCCATTGAGTCATCGACTCAAAAAGCTATCCAAATTGTTGAGTCATCCACTCAGCAATCTGGAATTCCTAAAGAATCCTCCAAAAAGGCTGATTCTTCTCAGACCAAAATAACCAAACAAACCAAAACAGACTATGTTTTACCTATTAGTACTCTTTTAGCTCTCCAACAAGGAAGTCTGAGTACTTTACCAAAAAAATCTTGGGCAAATATTGCCTCTGAGGATGAAATGGAAATTGAACTATCCAGTCTAAACACCATCGTCTAATCTTTAAACAAGTCAGTTACCCAAGAAAATACCGCCAATAAAATTGTTATCCTTCAAAAGGATAAACACAAAGAAACTCAAAATACATCCCATTACCTAGCCAAAGGAAAATTTTCCTCGGTGATACAGATGGAATATGAATTCTGGGATAAGAATCCATACAAAGCAATCTCTAAAGTATTCCCCTCTAGTTTTCATTTTAGACCATATACTTTGAATAAAACCAGACAATTCTATGAATTCATCTTAGTGGACTCAGATTCTGTTTCTATTAAGCATTACAAAGACTAGAAAGATCCTTCAATAATTACTCATTCCACAATCCAAATACTAAAAGTACTAACACCAAAAAATTTCGGAAAGGATCCAAATTCATTTAAGAAATTTTCCTAACCTTTCGACCCAGTAGGATACAATTACTGGGATTATATTGATGCCTAGACCAGAACTTTTTGGTTCCAAAATAAGCTCAATCGACACTCTTGATTGATTTATTTCAAGAAAAATCAAGATTACAATTTCCCTAATTGTTTTCTTCAATGGTGGGACTTTTTTGGTCTTATAGAAACAATTCTTCCTTCTCCTATCCAAGAAGGCTATGAAATGTTCAAATCAAGATATGCTTCTAACCGAGTTAGTGCAGATCTCAAATATTTTTCTACCTTTGCTCTAGCGTGGGTATTCTCTTGGCAATATAGATACAACAAAACAGATGATGATGATATTCTTCCAATGATTCACAGACATGCATTTGTGAAATGGTGGAATCAATTCAATGCAGATCATGCAGGTCCTTAAGGGGTTAATGAATTTTTTGGAAATGATCCAAAGCTCCTCAAGCTTGCTGATCTGGCAACATTTCAATTTTTAAATAAAAAATAAAAAATTGCTGCCTTCTTGTCAGGATGCGACTCCAAAGAAAAAATGAAGAAAAATTTAAAAGAAGTACTTCTTTTTTTAAATCAAGATGATGCTGAATCTTCGACAAAGCAAGATTTCACGACAAGAAATGAAGATGAGTTATACCAAAATGAAGATGATTGTTTTGGAATAGATATTCAAGAAATCTAACTTGTACTGTAGTAATAGTTCCTGTTAGTAACCAGAACTGTAGAAACAGTATTTAAAAAATTTCTATATAAGGAGTCCTCGACCATGTTGTGAGGCACCCTTTCATTTAGCAACATAAGAAAGTTTTTAGAGAGAGAAGCTCCGAGTGATACTTTTCCTTGTAAGCCTTTCTCTTTGAGATCTTTTAATAAAATTTTGTTGTTTCAACTTTATTTTCTCTCTTCTCCCTCTTAGCCGGTTCTGTTCAGACTACCATTGTCTGACTTTCTTCTCTTCTCCCTCTACTAGATTTGTGCTGGTTCTACCGCTGTTCTAGTTTCTATATTTTAAATTTACGTTTTTATATTCTGCATATTTACATTTTGCATATCATTTAGTAGTCCTGCTACTGCCTACTTTCTTTTCAGTCTTTATTTTTCCTTGATCCACTTTGGGTTATCTGGTATCAGAGCCTGATGGGGAAGTAGGAACATAACTGTTGATTATTTATAACTATGTTCTTCTGGATCTGGAC